TCTTCCTCCTTCTCTGCTGTTCACAGCCATCTCCAGAGTCTGAGAAAATGAAACTTCAAGTCCCAGGTCCTATTTGCCATGTACTTAACATACACAATCTCATTTAGTCCTGAAAATAACTCTGTGAGTTAACTCTGTGAGTTACACAAGAGAAAGAGACTCTGAGGAACTCAGAGTCTGATTTCTAACATGCCTGAGGTCAGACACTTAGCAGCATGGCAAAGATTCCATTTCATTTTACAGGACCAGTCTGCTTCCCAGACTAACCATCAAGTCCAAAAGAATTTAAGTTTCTGCTTTAAAAAAAAAAAAAAAAAACTCCCCTTTATTACCACAATTCATGTCTGACCAATTCCAGGAGCATCCTCCCAAACTTGATATGAAAATATTGAAGTAATTATTGGAGAAATTGAGCAAGAGTGGGTAGGAGGCCTGCTCTGTCTGGGCTCTGTGAAAAAGTGACAGAGTTCCTACTGGCAGGATGCCTGCCCTCCTGCCAGGGCCCCTCACTCAGAACGACATTCTCTACACCCTGGCATTGAAACTGAGCAGCCACCTGTCTGGTAACCTTGGGAGCAACCTGTGGCTGCCTTGGGCCAGACTGCCTGTGGATTACAGGTCTAGGGGAGGTCCCGGTGGGGCTGGAGTCCCGGTTCAGAACATCTGGGCAAGATACCTGAGACTCCAGGCCGCTGCTACCAGGAAGGGACAACTTGGTGCTTACTGATTATATTTTAGCCCTCCAGCCCCCAGGGTACACACATTATACTGGTACAGATACCCTCGGCCCCTGGGAGGGCCCTGCTCTTGGGAAGCTACAAGGGCAGGAAGCAGGGTAGGAGGGCCCCAGGGCAGGGATCTAAGCAGAGGAGGAACTGAACACAATAGTGTCAATTTACTGAGGGCTTACCCTCATTCTTGTAAATGCTTGTTTACACTGTTTGGTCTGATCTTCCAAAACACCCCCCTCAAACAGGTACCACTTATTATTCCCATTTAATAGATGAAAAACCAGAGGTTTAGGGACAAGTCACTTGCCCAAAAGCTTAGGAAAAGGGTTAACCCACACTCAGGAGACAGTGGTTCTATGTGAAGACAGGAGATGTGGCCTGGGAGGTCTGCTCCCTTCCCTCCTGGAGGCCTCATCATCAGCGTTCCAAACTAGAGAGAGCGGGTTACTCTGAGCTGCCTCGTAGTCCCTACCAGAGTTAGCAGAGAGAAGGCTGCTCCGAGTTCTAAGCAGACTCAAACTCCCCAAACTTCTTGAGGCTTGGGCCAGAGCAGGGAAGTCTCCAAGGCCTTCTCCGGTTCTGGGATCGGGGGTGGGTGGGTGGCGGTGGCTACGGCTTACTTAAACCGTCCCCGACCCAGCCTCCAGCATGAATCCGAAGGGACTCACCTCCCAACCTCTCACCCCCATCCAGCCCGGAACCTGTTTGGGATTAGGGGCTCTGATCCGGAATAGGGAGACTGACTGGCTGTCGAGGAAGAGGGCATGGGCGAACGTGCGTGGTACCTTACCGAGCAGTGGGGACTCCTCAGGGCATGCGGGCAGCGACAGTGCTGTGGCGGGGGGCACTGGGGCCGAAGTCAAGTTGCTCCCGAGGCCGGGGCCGGGGCCGGGGCCGGGGCGAGAGTCCGCGTCGGGGTTGGAGGCGCCACCCAAGCGCGGCTTGGAAGAGGTGAGCGAAGGCGGCGGCGGTGCGGCCTCTCGGGGCTGGAGCTCCCCAGAGGGCTGCCCGATGGCGGCGGCGCCGTTAGAGCTGCCCTGCAGCGGTGTGGGGACTCCGACCAGCTGAGGCAAGCGGCTCAGGTCGCGGCCGACCAGGTAGTAGACGAGGGTGACGCCAAGATGCAGCGCGCAGACAGCCACGAGCAGGCGACAGGCCCGTTGCAGGGACGCGCCCGGCATCGCGGCGCTGCCGCCCAGGAGCGGCTCCCGAAACCTCATCTTCCCGCCGCCGCTTTAAGAGGGGGGGGTGGGCTACCGCGGGGAGGGCGGCCCGCCCGCGGGCCTCCGGCCAGACACTGCCAGACGACTGCAATTGGGGGAGGGATAGGGGGAGGGGGCGAGGGAGCGGAGCTCAGACTCTGGCCGACTCAGCAGCCCAGCAAGCAAAGTGCGGACTACGGGCTGGCGCGGACGGGGGCGGGGCCGAGGCCGAGGCCGCCAGCGGGGCGGGGTCAGGGCCACCCGTAGGAGCCGCGTTTTCGGGACAGGAGCTGGGGGCGGGGCCGTCTGGGGCGGAGCCGAGCTGCGGGGCGGGGCCTGTGGAGGGTGGGCCTCAGGGGCGGAGCCGTTCGGGGCGGCAGTTGGCAGCCTGCAGCCTTGGAGTTGAGCTCTCAGGTCCTCACGCCGCCCTCCTCCGCAGCCTGCCCTTTGGGGCTTCGGTCCCTACTAAGCCGCGCTTCCTCCTCCTCCTCCTCCTCGTCCTCCAAGCTGCCCCCGAGAGGAGCCGGCACTTCCTGCGGTGCTGAAGGGCTGGGTTATGCGCCTGGGCCTGCAGCGCGGCGTCAGAGAGGAGGGAGGAGAACAGAGCAGACTGGTCGTGGTCTTGAGGGGTCGGGGCCCGCGGCGGCTTTCCTGACGGTGGACCTCGGTAGACCTGGGGGGAGGGTCAGGAAGAGGGGCGGAGAAGGGTTGCCCAGCAAACGGCTTCGACGCCCAGCAGGAGGTAGGACAGCGGAAGAGGGAGTCTCTGGGACGTTCGGAACCCCCTCCCTTGGCCGAGCTAGGCCCCTCTATCGAGGTGGGGGCCCAGCAACTAGGCGCGGCTCATCCGGCGCCCTGCGGAAAAGAAAGTGGACGAGTCTCCACCTCTCTGAGCTCACTGTCCTACAGCCCAGGTTAGGGGATCCCAGAGGCCCGCCCAGCTAAGTTGTGGGGATGCGTGGGTGCTTCTTCTAGCGCATCCCACACCATGCACTGCGTGGGAGGGTGTCAAAGAGCCCCAGTGACTCCCACGCCGCCATGCAGGAAGAGATCAGCCGGCTTTATTTACAGTCCGCGCGGGCCTGGACACAATGTCATGAAGTAGGAATTGTTCCCATTTTACAGATAGAATTCAAGGCTCAGGAAGGTTAAGAAGCTTGCTTAGGATCCCACAGCTGGTGAGAGGCAGAGGCAGAACTCTGGCTCTAAAACCTTTATTTACCACTTGTTGATTTGCAAGTAAGGGCTGTGTGGGTGATAGGTTTAGGCAGTGAAGTCACTTGGTTCAAATTTGACCCAGAGGCCACTCGTCAGGCCCACCTGGTTGCCTGAGTGAGCAGGGACACCTCATTTCTGAGAAGGACTCATGGAGGTGCTGTCACTTATGTGGATGGGGAAGCTGAGGGCTGTGGCAGCCTACTCTGAAGTGGAGGAAATAATAACAATGCTACCATAGACTGAGAGTTTCCTATATACCAGTCAGACACAAGTGTTAACTGCTTTACATACATTGCCTCAATCCTAACAACACCATGAAGTGGGCAGTTGTTACTCTCACCATTTCACGGATGAGAAAACTGAGGCTCAGGAGTTGACATGTGGTTGTGATCACACAGAATCTACTTTCTTCAATTGGCTTCCTGGACATCAGGTTTTTCTGATCTTCCTCATTTCACTGGCCACTCCTCTGTCTCTTTTCTGGGCCTCTTTCCTGGTTGTTCAAGGCCCCAGGCCATAGTCCATGATGCTCTTTTCTGTCTACACAGAAAAGAGTGTGATTTATATTCAATAATACCTGTATGCTGATGACTACAAAATTTTCCATCTCCAGCCCTGACCAACCAACTCATATTCCACTCCCTCTCTTACTGGCATCTCAAACTCAGCACCTACGCCCTACACTCCACTCCCATTCTTACTTACCTCAGAGAATGGCACTGTTGTTCATCCATTTCCCCCAAGTCCTGAACCTAAAAGGTGTCCTCAATGTGTTTTTCTTATTCTTAAATGCCATTTCCAATCCCTCAGCAAGTCTTGTCAGTGCTACCTTCAAATTATCAGAATTAACCACTTGCTAACTCTGCTGTAACTGTCCTGGACCAAGCCACCATCATGTTGACCTGGGTTATAAGGTAGCCTCCTACTTGGTCACCCTGCTTATACCTCCACCATGCCCCCTCCCCAGTCTATTCTCCAAACAGCAGCTAGGGAGATCTTTGTAAGCGTAAATCAATTCATGCCATTTTATTGAGAATGAACTCCAAATTTGTAGAAGCCCTGTCTAATCTGGTTTCTATCTCTATTCCCCACCCTCTTCTCCTATCACCCTCTACCACGCTCTATGTATTTTAGCCACACTGACCTAACTGCTGCTATTCCTTGAACTTGCCCTGTTAATTCCTGCCTCAGGACCTTTGTACTTGCTGTGCACTTAGCCTGAAACACTTATGAAATACTTAGCCCCATACTTCATTCAGATCTCTCAAATGTCACCTTATGAGAGAGGTCTTCTCAGACTACACTATGTAGAATAGTCCCGCAACCAAAGCTGCTTAACCTGCTTGATTTTTTTCAGAGTAGGTATCACTACCCAGAATTATACATTTAATTTATTGTTTGTTGTCTGTCTGTCTCATTAGAAGATCAGCTGCATGAGTGCAAGAACTTTCTCTCTTGTTCACTACTATATCCTCAGCTCCTAGAAATGAACCGGACACATAGTTGGCACTGAATAGATATTTGTTAAAATACCTGTTAATGAATGCTTATGATCATCTTGATAATGTGGGAAGGGAAGAGGGGAAGAACTATTGTAGTTAGAACACAAATTCAAGAGTCGTTCACCAGGGAACTGGTGAGGGTGAAGCTGGCCCCAACAGTCTATGCCTAGACTGTCATACAGAATGAAGTAAGTCAGAAAGAGAAAAACAATGTGGAATCTAGAAAAATGGTACAGATGAACCGGTTTGCAAGGCAGAAATAGAGACACAGATGTAGAGAACAAATGTATGGACACCAATGGCGGGAAGGGGAGGCTGGGATGAATTGGGAGATTGGGATGGACATAGACACACTAATATGTATAAAACAGATAACTAATAAGACCCTGCTGTATAGCACAGGGAACTCCACTTCGCTGTACAGTAGAAACTAACACATTGTAAAACAACTATATCCCAATTTAAAAAAAATTATAAAAGGAACAGAAAAAAAAGAGCAATTCACTGCCATTTAAAAATGAAAGAATAAAAAAAGAGTTACATATAAAACAAAGGAAAAGAGAGCTTCCCTGGTGGCGCAGTGGTTGAGAATCTGCCTGCTGATGCAGGGGACATGGGTTCGTGCCCCAGTCTGGGAAGATCCCACATGCCGCGGAGCAGCTAGGCCCATGAGCCATGGCCGCTGAGCTTGCATGTCCTGAGCCTGTGCTCCGCAACGGGAGAGGCCACAACAGTGAGAGGCCCGCGTACCGCAAAAAAAAAAAAAAAAAAAAAAAAGAGTAAAACAAATATATGGTAACGCATATATGTGGAATCTAGAAAAATGGTATAAATGATCTTATTTGCAAAACAGAAATAGAGACACAGATGTAGAGAACAAATGAATGGACACCAAGGGGGGAAGCAGGTGGATGGGATGAATTGGGAGATTGGGATTGACGTGTACACACTATTGACACTATGTGTAAAATAGATAATGAGAAACTACTGTATAGCTCAGAGAACTCTACTCAGTGTTGTGGTGACCTAAACGGGAAGGGAATCCAAAAGGGAATATATGTATACATAGAGCTGATTCACTTTGCTGTACATTAGAAACTAACACAACATTGTAAAGCAACAATACTCCAATAAAAATTAATTTAAAAAAATAAAAGTATTTGCCCTGTTGGGCCATCACACACAAAAAAAAGATGATAGTAACATAAAATGTTTATTTTGATGATTGTGGTTATGTTGGAAATGTGTACATAAGGTTTTGGGTAATGTAGCATCATGTCAGAAATTTACTCTGAGTCCCAAAAAGTATTTGTACTAAACTTGCAACTTTCCCGTAAGTTATCTTTTCCCGTACAGATCCAACATACAATGGGAAGACAGAGACAGGAAAATCATAATAGAAACTCCCACTTAAAAAGGGGTAATAAAAGGTACATAGCGGGCCTTAGGTCTTTAGGAAATCTGAGATCCAATAGCGCAAATGTCACCAATTCCCCCTGCTCCAGGAGCAGGGAATGTGATTCTCTGTGGCTCTTCACCCTCTGGGCTCTTGGCTCTACCCTCTGGGCTCTTGGCTCTATCCTCTGGGTCATTCCTCCTTGCCCTTGTTTGCAGCAGAGTAATTTGTTCAGGCTGCTTCGCTAAGTGCCCAGTGTCCTCATTTCATTTGAACTGTCTTTGCCTATTTTAGTCCAAGCTAGTGGTACTTATGCTGGTACAATTCTCTCGGAGGGGACGAAAATAAACAAAAATATTGTGCATTTCCCATGAACCTTATTGAGTTTCACTCCATTAGACAGAAACTATATCCCCAAATTCCTCCCTTCTTTAGGCTGTGAGTCGGGGTACTATGGGACAAATCCTTAAGATTCTTAGAAGCACTTTTGTCTAGCTGAGAGGTCTATAAGACACTGCTTGAAATCTATGAGATCGTAAAGAGTCACAGTCACATTCTTGACTTTATCCAAACTTTACTGGGAGTGCCCTAGAATTAATCTTTTCTCTAGGTTTTAGTTTACTTTGAGTAAGCTGGTTTTTTGGGGGGGTTTTTGTGTTTTTTTTTTTTGCGGTACGCAGGCCTCTCACTGCTGTGGCCTCTCCCATTGCGGAGCACAGGCTCCAGACGCGCCGGCTCAGCGGCCGTGGCTCACGGGCCCAGCCGCTCGGCGGCATGTGGGATCCTCCCGGACCGGGGCACGAACCCGTGTCCCCTGCATCGGCAGGCGGACTCTCAACCACTGCGCCACCAGGGAAACCCGAGTAAGCTGTTTTTACAGTCAAAACCCCTGATTGGAGTTTCTTAGAAAAACTAGGTGGTTTTCTGCTTCATATAGTGTTGGCTGGGGTAATAGAATGTCTGGAAGGTATAGATGGCCTCATTCACATGGCTAAAAGTTAGTGCTGGTTGCTGTCTAGGTGTTTAGCTGGAGCCCTTAGCCAAAGGTCTCAGTTTTCCTC